AATAAATATTAAATTAAAACATTGTAAAATAATACACAAATAAAAAAATAAAATGATCAATGCCTAAACAGTTTGACACGCGGCTGCCTGAACTTATCTTTCACTGTCACCTACCCTCTCGCCGGAAATGATAACATGGAATTCGCGCATGCACAGGTCGTCTACTTCACCGCTACGTTTCCCTATGTGATACTCATCATTCTGCTCGTTAGAGGCGCTACACTACCGGGCGCCGCACAAGGAATCCGCTTCTACATCACACCAGATCTGAGCGTGCTCTCCACTCCACAGGTACGTGGGGGACTCATGCGTTGATATCACACTCCACAGGTACGTGGGGGACTCATGCGTTGATATCACACTCCACAAGGATCGGTTAGGGTATAACACACTCCCCATCCTTGACGTTCGAGATGCCCCCACCATTTCTTCTTTTAAAGTCCGTCTAAAGAAAATCTTGCCCTATCAATAGGGCCCATTGTGCTCTACTTACCCCGTACAATTTTAGTCCAAGTACTTCCACTCTTATTGTGTATTTATTTAATATTTAATCGTTCTGTTGCTGTGAGACGGCCATGTGGAAGATAAGTCCGCACCAATTTATTGTGTCTGTACCTAACATGTTCTACCGTCGTTAAATAAAGTTTTTACTTACTTACTTACTAATAAGCTAGCTTGTTTTAAACTGAGCTAGGTTTAAACTGAGTGAATCATTTCGCCTCGTTCACTTTTCCAAGAGGCTTCATTGTCAGTGCCTTAATGATCTTATTATACGCTCGTCATACTTAATTACTTACGTAATTATCTTACTGTAATGATCACTCGTCATACAGGTGTGGTTCGACGCTGCCGGACAGGTATTCTTCTCGCTAGGTGTCGCTTTCGGCGGCACCATGACGCTATCGAGTTACAATCGGTTCAGACACAACTGTCTTCGTGACGCGCTAATTCTGGTGCTCGGGAACTGTATCGTCAGCTTCCTCGCTGGAATCGTCATCTTCTCCATGCTAGGTCACATGGCCCACGACCTCGACAAGCAAGTGAGCGAGGTCGCCAGAAGTGGTGCGTGACGTCACTGTTCGATTTTTTGCGGATCAGTCCACTCTATGTTCCTCCATTAATACATCTCATTATCTATTATATATTAATTAATACATCTCATTATCTATTATATATTAATTAATACATCTCATTATCTATTATATATTAATTAATACATCTC